TATGTAAAAAATTATAGGGATTAGGGTTTAGGCTTCCGTGCTTGGAGTTTAGGCTGTAGGATTTATCCTTTGGGGCTCAGGGTTTAGGGGTGATGTAGAGCTCTGCATTGCCCCTTCGCCCCCATGCCACCGTACAAATTTCGACCCTAACCCTGCATCTTCAGGTTTACCTCCAAGGTCAGTGACCCAAAACAACGGACCTTCCTAAATCTCCTACAATGTTGGCTTGAAGTAGCCCATTATCTGTGAACCTTAAGTCCCTAAAACCCTAAACCCTAAGTGTCATTTAGGTAAGTAGGCTTGCCATGTAGTTTGGGGTTCAGGTCCCCATGATGAACCTTGAAAGCAGGACCTCCTTGCAATGGAGTCTTCACTTCTGGCATTCTATCATGTGCGGGGCCCTAGAGTCTAAGGTTAGGAGTATGGGGGGGAGATTCTAGGGGTCCTCAAGGGTACATATGGGTGTTTCCCAAAAATTAGGGGTACCTTTTGGGGGTCCCAGTAAAGGTTTTTAAGGATACCAGGGTCAACGGCCCATACTAGCGGTCCATGGTTTCAACCTTGGGATTGAGACCTCCAAGCCCTAAACCCTAACACCCTAAAACCCTAAACCCTAAAACCATCAAACCCTAAACCCTAAACCCTGAGGTCTAGGGGTTTGGGGTCCGGTCCATGGTTCTGCTGTGACTAGGCTGGGACTGTCTCAAATTAGGGGCACACGTATTTGTTCTTGGAAGGGAAGAAGGGAATCTAGGGGTATAATCTAGGGTTGTATAGGGATAGTGGAAAAGAACATGGAAGCTACTATTTAGGGTTTAGGGTCACCAGAGGGTGCAATGAAAGAAATGTGTTGGGTCGTGCATTTTGGAAATCGAAGCCACCTGGCGTAGGTGTCGGTATCAGTCGGGAGTGTTGAAGACATGGGCTTCTGAAATTCTTGGAGACTCCCATACGATAACTTCCCTGTTTTGACCCAAGCAGCTAGGAACCCTGATTTCCCACGGCTAGGGTTGGATTAATTTAACTGGTGGTTAGTAGGGAAGAAGCGAGTATAATCCTTAAATGCAGCCCTACATAGTACATGACCTTATTCCCTACTAACCCTAAACCCTTTATATGTGTGTATAGGGTTTGGGATCCGGGTTTAGGGTTCAGGATCTTGGGTTTAGGGTTTAGGGTTTGGGCTGAAAGGAGCGCCCTCTTTTGCCATTGATGCATAGATTCCAGCTGGCCCACTGCAAAGACCACAGCTGAATACAACAGAAGGATTAAAGGCGGCGAGTCTTTAGTTCTTTATCCCGAAGTGCTAGATCAGCTCTCAAGTTACAGTGTGGTTTCAATCTTCAGTCTCGAATGCTCGGAAGGCCCAGCTCATGAATGCTTTCGAAGAGTTCGGAACTGGTGGCGTCCGGCTTCCTGGTAATGCAAGCCTTAAAGATAATTGGTTTAGGGTGTAGAGGTGTTTGTGACTGGTGTTCAAGGTTTGGGTCTCTCTCCTGACATATCTGAGAACCCCTTGAAAATGATACGCATGCGCTGTGTCGCAGAAGATTGGCCGAGATTTTTTTGGCATGCGGTTGTGTTGTCAGGGAAGATCGCAGGCTTACCTTACGTCTTCTACGTTGCCATCTTGTATACTCTACTATGTATACACTCTATTTTCAAGACCTCTAGAAGGGACCCCAAAACCATCGTCTCACGTTGTATCTGTTCCGGCTTCCAAGCTCCAGACGTCTTTTTTTTATACTATTGGCTTCTTGCTTTGCTAGTGGAGTTTGGCGAGCGGCCTCTTGACTGCCGAGCCGAGCCTGTCTGAGTTGCCATCTGCCGTCAATTTTTATGAGTTATAAGGAATGTGGACCACAAATCACCCAGCTGGGGACCATCAGCCCTAATCCACAAGTCGTAAGCTTGTTAGCAGAAATGACTCTTGTTTGCATCGGTCTGTGTCGGTTTGTCCTTGTACGGCGGTTGCGGATTTGGTTATCTGCTCAGCGGAAGCAGCAGACAACCCGGCATCCAAAATCTCAAAGACAACACTGAAACATGTACACACAGGATGGCGAAAGCCCTGGAGGTTCATATGACCCACGAACCAATTTGTTTCGTTTTGGTCACATACCACGCCCGTCAAGATCCCAAACCATCAATTAAGCAAAGCAACAGGATTTCCCACTGACGCTGCTGCTCGCACACTATGCGTTGGCGCGCTGTGACTACATGTGCCTTGCCTCAGCGTAATGTTTTTGATGGATCCTGCCACAAACTTCACAGTATATGGCCAGCTTCAAACACCCTAGCATTCCATACGATGTTTTGGAGGTGAGGAACTGGGCCTAATTCACAGAAAAGCTGAGCCCTCGTCCTCTGCCTGGCATCCAAAGACAAACTGCCCGCAGTGAGACGCAAGATCTGTGATTGAATTGGCGGAAAGCTGACAAACCTGGAGGAGTTGAGAGTGAAGCAGTTGCTATCTGGTTTCCCTAAGGGGCCAGGTACCCAATAATCATATACTCCCCCAAAACCTATACTACAATTACTATTACCCAAAACCCAAGTACCTAATTATTGGGTACTTGGACCCTCTGGGTGTATTCTCAGTTTCTTAGTCCCCGCTCTCCAAATCGCATTTTCCTTCATTCAGCCACTGGCAGAAGAAGCGGCTGTCTGAGGCGCTACATGCTGGGCCGCGGTTGGACGGCCAGCGCCTCAGGCAGTCATTGCCTGGGTTGCGAATTACGGTAAATAGTTCCTTTGGGGCCTTTGCGTTTGTACAGCGAATGCTGCTCACCGAAGGTCGGATAGACAAGATACACAAGCCCGCCAGACATGCCAACCATCCACCCTTCAAGGAGAGGGGCTGCAACCCTAAGCCCCAACTTAGCTTAATCAAGCGAACTGCTGTGGCCTGTACTGCGGCTGGCTACTGAGTGCTTTTGAGACATGCCGGTCTCCAAGCTTTGACCAAAGCTCTACTTCCCTGCACCTCTGCTGAGAAGCTTTTCTTGCAAGTTATGGTGTAGTGGACCCTAAAATAAACTATCCAAGGACTTTAGGAGGGACCCCTAATAGGGACCCTTGTAGCTTATGGGGGTTAATCTGGGGACTACCTAGGGATATAGGGGTTATACAAAGTCTATTTCAGGGTTATATATGGTAATGAGATTAAGGGTCCCTATTAGGGGTCCCTCCTAAAGTCCCTAGAAACTATCCTCACAACAGCTATGCTAGGCATCCTTAGGATTCCAAAGGGTAAATCTGGCCCTATGTTCAGACATGCCCATGGGGCTCTAACCGGCACGTTGTTGCTTGTCAAAATCAATGGGTTGCTCCATGGGGCGGCAAAATCCAAAGTGCTTTGTAAACAGCTGTTGATGCTTCTTAACCAACCTTCCCTTTGCGAGCTACTGTCTAAACTCTTATAGGAGGTTATATAAAGGATTATATAGGGTACTACTATACGGTTTTTAAGGGAATGCTAGAAGTTTAGACTATAGCTCATGTTATCGCAAGGAGGATCCCACTCACCCCCTTGTTCTATACCTATCCATGCAGCTATCTATGTCCAACAAGTCGCGCAGATGAGGCCTGTGCCGCCGGGGACGCCCGTTTGATCGCGGCTGTGGACACTCTCGCAGAAAGTGTGTACGATTTGTTTGCAGCAATGCGAAGGCACTAAGGATGTAGATCGAAATTTGTAGGTTCGTAAAATGGTGTAGTTGTGTTGGATCTACTTTCGAAGCTCACACATAGTTGAACAGAAAAGGTGTTCTTGTGGCCATGACCACTATTGTAGAAGCAGGGTTCGGTGCTGGTCTATGTTCCTGCATATGCGGCCATTATCTTGAGGATTGTAAGTGATTGGTACTTTGTGAGGGCGCAATTCTTCATTCTGCTGAACAAAATGCAAGAAGATGGGATCCGAACCATTACTTTTTCAGAAATGTTAGAATCAGGATCGTCACAAGAGCTTTGACGGCAGTCAGAGGCAGCAGCGGCGGCTGCAAAAGCACCAGCAGCACTAGCAGCAGCAGCACCGGCACGTGGCGGCAAAGCAACACGATCATGAGCACAACGTTCGCAGAAGCAGATCTACTCAATGGCAAAAACTAAACGCAACAATAACAGCAAGTTCGATGAACCATGCCAGCCTCCCTGCAAACACCGATCCATTGACCTATGACACACACAAAGCGTCTATATAGTGAGCAGGACGCGGACCTTTGCCGTATTGATGGCGGTCAAGTGCTGACTAGTGAAGGCGGGATGGGATTGCAGCGGTTTCGGGAAAGATTATGGAAGATAAGCGAGAGCTGCCCTTGCCATTCGTCTTGTGGATCCTTGCATTGAGTGCGAGGCCAGGAAGTCTTACATCCTTTGTAGTCACCTAGACGTAATAAAGACCAACCCAAGACAAAGCACCCAATTATAGATAGGGCCTACATAAGTGAGGCAACTCTTCTTTCACGTCATTTTCCTTCCGTGCTGACTATCATCATCCTTGCAGCGGTAATCCTCCGTATCATGAATACACCCCCCCGATTCCAGACTCATGGATCCCACCTTCACATGAAGAGGCTACGAGAAGGCCATTGCAGCTTTGCTCGCGGAAAGTGCCTGACACGCATAAGATGCTGAAAAAGGGCACCCATGCGATTGAACATTTTTTTAGGCAAAGTTTTTTCAGCACCCTACGTATGGTGGGTCAGTGTCAGGCTCCTTGGGGGCTTCGAGCCCAATAAGGAATACGCGGAACATGTGCAACGGACCCACGTGGTGAATGTTCAACGTGTACAGGGTTATGCCTAACGATTCAAGAAACTACCTACCGGTAGAAACGCCTGAGAGCTGCGCTGGACTACAAAATGCGGGATGTAGAGCATGACGGAGCATTGCCGTGAGAAGGTTGAGTCGATCTAGCGGCATGCCCATGAAGAATTTCGTGCATGAAGTGGAATGCTAAGGAGCTTGAGACTCTTCATCATACACCCCCTTTCAAGTGTACAAGCCGGATCCTGGCAAGCAACTCTCCAATTTGCTGCATCGCTGCCAACTGCCTTTGCCCACCCTGAACCCAAAACCTTCAACCCTGAACCCTGAATATAGTAGTATATAGTAGTAAAATATTTTATGAGATAGTATAATATGGTACGTATCAGCAGTGAACCCATCATGGTCACCAGCTAGTCTTCAAGAGTGAGGGCCAACTTGTCTGGTAGCTGGCAATCTCGGACCCTAGACTGCTGCCTATGGACGTATAGTCCCCCTTAAGTAGATAGAATATGGCTTTGGGTATGTTATGATAAGATCCCAACATACCCCATATTCTATCTACTCAAGGGGGACCGTAACATTTTAGCTCTCAGCTTTGGAAGCTATCGCACCCCAACCCCTACACCCCAGAGCCAGCCAACCACTACTGTAAGGCTCATGTAAGTACTGAGCCATGGCAAACGCTGCTTTATCGCCTCCGAGGCTGGATTTGGGTTTTGTTGTTGGAGGGCTTGGCCTAGGGCATAGGGTTATAGGAGTCAGGATTTAGGATTCATGAGCCCAGAAACTCCACAAAGTTGGATTTAAAGCTAGTCTAGAGCTAAAGAAGGGGGCAGTACCTTGTAAGGATAAACCAGCCCCCACCTCCAACAACGTCTCCTCCCAATATAATATCGTTATTGATTAGTTTACGTGACGTGAATACTCATTGGGCATACCATTGTCAGGGGGTACCTCTATATCTATACATGGCCCATATAACCCCAGAACCCCACTCTTACGTCGACTAGTACTCCATATCTGCTTCTCCCGTATCAGTAGGTTCTACGCGAAGGCTCTTGGGCACCCATTTTGAGATGCAGGGCTTAACCCTCAAATGATAGTAAATCCTAATTCAGAAGGGCTCTACTATTTCAGCAATTTAGGCGCGAAAACCTGCTAATTCTTGCATATATGTATGTATACGCCTGAGCCCCAAAGGTAGACGACCTAATAGCCTAAAATCCATTGAAAAACATCACAAAAGCAAGTATGTTACATACTTTTGGTGTTCAGGTAATATGGTAGTTTCCCAAAATAGGGAGACCCCAATATATAGTAGTCCTTAATATAAGGACCCCCAAAATGGTACTCCAAATTTCGGGAAACCTCCCATATCCCTCTGTATGCCTGTGTAAACCTCAGAACCGCCTACTAGCGAGGCGGCGCTGACATGCGAAGTCAGGATCAGGCTGCTTGGCAGCGTTTGGAAACTCCAAATGAATGCCTACTTGAGGGGTTAGGGGCCCTTAGTAAGTATAGGGTTTAGGGTGTAGGGTTTAGGGTGGTAGTAAGTAGGTTAACAATGGGGATAACTAGGGTTACTAGATGGGTTACAGGGGTTATCAACTAGTTTGCTAAGTCCCACTGACCCTCCAAGTACCTATCGACAATTGCCTTTTGGGCTTTTTGGCCGGTTTTCGGCAATTTGTCTTACCTATTTGGGGTTTACGCATTCTGGTATTTTATAAGAAGAATATCACTTTTTTTGGCTCAACCACCCAAAATATGCGTTTCAAATGAGGCTTGCTCCAAACAGGTGGCTCTCGGAGAACTCTATGGGTATTATTTAGGTAAGAAGACCTACGGGGACAAACCCTAGACCATAAACCCCAAAGAAGCTCCCAAGTGGGTTCCCTGTGATGAGTCTCTCAACAACTTCCGGGTAGCAACAATGTGGCGCAAGTAAGAGCCGACAGAGCCAATTGAAAAAGATGTCAAAACTGTAGGTTTTTCCAAGCAGTCCTTTCGTAGGCCCGAAGTTGTTCTTCATTTGGAGGGCGGAATATTCGAGTCCATTTCTTTGGGGTCCCTGATGTTGGCGAGAGTGAAAAACACGAATCGGGCCATAGATCGCAAAGCTTAGAGTCCTACGACGCTCCCCAAAGCTTTCATCCTTCATCTTACTCGGGATTCGTAGGGAATAAGGAATATATTAGTAGGGACTAGTTATGGACTAACCTCCAGTAAGTCATGGGCGTTATAACACTGAAGGAATTCACCCACTGTCGCTCTATTACTTATCTACAGCTACCGTATGCATAAGAGAGACACAGGACGCCTCATAACCCTTACTACACCACAATCCTGCACCCTGTTTCCGAATGTCCTAAACCTTACCGCCCGAACTGTCCTCTGAATCCTGAACCCTACACCCTCTAGAATCTACGCACCCATCCCCGACCTAAGCGGTTTTAAGTTCGTAAATTATGCCTACCTTGGGCCCCAAAGTCTGTCACTAGTAGCTACACCGGACTATTTGGAGCCCATCAAGCCTTCAAGACCCAAGGGCGCGGCGAGGCGCTCATACTCGGAAAGGAGGAGCGGCATCCATTTTCCAAACGGGTCTAAGAATTCAAGTTTGGGTTGCTGGGTTGCTGTTAAGGAACCTAAACTAAAGTGCTATTCTAAGGAAACCGTATTATTCGCTGTACAACTCTACAATCTCATTGGCGCCTGAAAGCCGCGATGCCTGATTAATCAACCCCCTCCCTTAATATGGATGATCCCAATAAAAAGGCCCTTAAAAGGAGGGGATTTATGAAGCACGGGTCTACACTAAGGGTTTGCAGAGGCCAGTGCAGTGAGAAGGGCTGAGGAATGCAAGATCGAGGTCCGGAGGTTGCAGTTTAGGAAGTGATGCCTGCAAACCTCCCATTTTCCGGCCTTTGCGAAGGTGATCTACACTTCTGTGTTGTTTGAAGATTTCTTGCGTGCGGTTCTGTTAAACCATCAACCCTAAACCTTATGTTCGATCAGCCGTCAATCGGTATGCGCTGCGGGGTTATTCCCAGGCCATGCCGCGAAATTGCGAAGTTTCTCCACCTGTCCGAGACGAGCCATAGTCTAAATTTCTTTAGGGGGGTTCTAATGGGGATGATATAGGCGGTTGTATGGGGTGAAGGGTCTAGGGTCTCAACACACAAAACCCCGAGATTTCTGGCATGCACAATGCCTAACATGCTTGGCTGATTTGCTGCAATCCTCGCTCACATCACTCAGACTGCTGCTTGTGAAGGCGCGGAGAGCGCAATGACTTCCGCGGCGGTGCCCGGCGCGGCAGCCAAGCAAAGCTGTGGCAGCTTTAAGGAAATTAAGAAGTGATCGGTATTTGACCGCTATATGAGCTATAGTCTAAACTCCTTAAAGGGGTCATATAGGGATTATATAGGGGACTACTATAGGGGTTATTAAGGGGGATACTACAATGGCTCATATGGTATGGGTTGTAAAATTCTAGGTTGAACAGTGGCTCAAAGAGAGTGGGCCTTCTCTCCTCATGCAGTGATCAAGTGTCCCTGTACTGAGGGTGCAGGGTTTAGAAGGAAAACACAAGCATGCAGTAGAAACTGTCTCAAGTTTTCATAGCCTGCACGGGAGGTACGTGATCAGAGAGGAAGGCGGAGTTTCTTAAGACATTCCTACTCATCCGCTCACGAAGAAATGGTGGCTTTGCCTGAATGTTTTGGGATTTTCAGGGGTGTTTTGTGCAGATTGAGTAGCCTCAGCTGGACTCGGAAATGCGGTCAACCTCTTTGGAACTGGAGAGAATTTCTTGGAATCCTAAGCCGTCGGGGAACCAGGATGATGAAGGAATGAAGGACTGTCCCCATAGAGGGCCATTGAACACCCTGAACCCTACCTGGAGGGTCAGGGGGTAAGTAGGTTCATGACCCGTATAATCCATATATTAAACCAATTTATTATTAGTGTGAACCTGCTTACTGAGTCTCCCTGACCCTCCAAGCATCAACCTCTGTAAAGCCTGGAGCTGTACGTCCCGAGCACATTGAAATCTAGGTATCCCAGTAGTACCCTCTCTCTTTTTTATCTTAAAGGCCTGCTTACTTCTTGAAGCTGAACATTAAAAAAAAAGGGTACCCTCATTATTGAGGGGATACTGCGGAACCTAGTAAACAGAGTGTTTAGCACAATCCTGATACGCAAGCACAAACAAACCTGGAATCCATATGGACCCCCCAAAAGCTTCGGGAGCATATTTGGGATTCAACGCTTGCTCGGGGGAGGGTATGATCCCCCCTGAGCCCTTGAAGACGGTAAGGTCCATCCGTGGAGGCTCGTTCATGGCCTACGATGTTACGCTTTGGGGCGTGAGGGCTTGGGGTTTATGTTGCTGTCTATGCAGGGTGAGGGGTCTGAGGCTTTATCAGAATGCTTGGGTTGATGGATTTGGGGGCTAAGGAAAAGCTTTGCAGTTTGCAGCATAGGGCTTCTTGGGAGTTGAAAGCGGTTCATCGCTTATGTCGACGCTCCTAACGCCAGAAGTTTGTGTGAAACTTTACAGTAGGATGTTGCAGAAGCTGGGGACATTCCGGAAGCCCAAGGAAGTCTGCAGTACTTTTTCGGGCGACTGGAGACGCTGAAAACTCCCTGTCAGTCGGCACGCTCTACAAAACCACACAACCCAGAACACAGCTCGGTACACTAGACACCAGCAGCTGACATGGAGTGGGCGGTCTCAGCTTTTGAGAAGTACGCAAAGCTTTCCCTAGAGCAGAGTTGCGTTGCGGCGGGTATAACCGGAATGCAGCTGTCACCGGAATGGAAGGTGGCCTTTTTCGATTCGCA